TGGGCATGTTGTTTCGCCGAAAACCTGCCTATTCTGGGTACGAGCGGGCGGGATGTGGGCGGCTTAGGAGAGCTGCTTTTGAACTACCTGCCATGTTTTGGAAATGGACGATGTGTGTGTGATTGAGAAAATGACGATAATAGAATTTTGGAGTTTCCAGAATATTGGAAGGCTTCGAGGATGGGGGACGGAATTGCTGCAGGTGATTGCTACCGACTCTTTTTTTCTAAACGGCCTTTAGAAACGAGGGGTAAGGAAAGAGAAGAGGCTCTATCTTCCCTTTCCTTCCTGCCACAAGCGTCGAGAGGAATGCGTTTAAGAGATTGTGAAGAAGCCATAGGTACGATCTCAACTTCCTCGGCCACAGAGATCCCACGCTTTTGGTTCGGTTCCTCCAAGGCCAGAATTCCTTCTTCTTTGGTCTCGTTCGGTACACGTAAGGTAAGTAGAGGGACATAGAGCGGAGGGATAGAACTCTTGGCCCGGGGTGCCTTCCCCTCCCCTACTCTGATTCTTCTCTTCTTCGCGATAGCTTTGTTCGGCGTGTAGTCGAGCCCCTTCAACGCGGAGCGTTAGGTGACGACTTTCAATACCTCAAATCAGCTGCAATTACGTCCACACTGGGTCTGAGCTGCTCCTACATATCTAAGCTTTGGGGGAATGTAGATCAAGCAGTTCCCAAACGACAAGTAAGCACTAGAGACGATGGTATCATTACTTAAGTATGATCACGGTCACAAGCACATGGTTCCTGATAGTGAAACGCAATGGTTCTTTTCTCTGATATAAAGGCAGGCCCTCAGAACCAGAACCTGACCCTCACCGGCCAGGCTCCGGCTCCGAGAGCCCGCAAACACGCAAACACCCCCCTTTCCCCTCCCCCCCCTTCCTTCCCCTCCTCCCCCTAGTATCCATTGCGCAGACACCTCCCCGACGATACCTAGCTAGCTATAATAGCTGCTAGGTATCGCCGGTGGTGTCTGCAGGGAATAGGCCGAGGCCCAGGACAAGAAGGCCATGGTGGTGGTGGTGGCGGCGGTGGTGTGACGAAGCCTCTTAAGCACCGAGGCGCTCCTTGACGGCGGTGGCGGCGATCTCCCAGAAGATTCTCTCCATCCGACCGTCGTCGGTCAAGTCCTCCGGATCGAGGATCTCCTCGAGATCGAAGGGCTCGAGGAGGTAGGGACCGTAGTCCTTGTCCGAGTCGCGATGGAAGATGATCCGAACCGAGAGGATCGCCTTATCGTCCTCCTCGTTGTTTCCATCCGGCTCCGTAGCGACGACCATCTCATCCGACTGAGCCTCGTACACCTTCTGCACCTCGAGACGGAAGGTCTCCTCGACCATCTCCTCGGCATTCTCACGGTCGTAGTCGACAAAGACGCGGTTGGTGCCGACGTTGTAGTTGACAATGTAGTTGTTGCTGTCGCCCTTCCACTCATTCTCAAGGCCACGGAAGATCACGGTGATCTGGTCGATGTTGGGGTACTTGAGCTGGCCCACGTCGATGCTGGCGACGGGCTTCTTGTTGAGGAAGTTGTGGTAGAGAAGCGGGTAGTCGTGTCCGTCGGTCCAACCGCGGAAATCTTCCATCACGATGCGCACCATCTTGAGCTGTGAGTTGATTTCGTGTCCAAGGTTGGGATTGATGAAGCTGGGATAGAAGGCGGGGCCGGGAATGTCGGTCTTATAGCCAAGAGAAACCTCATCGGTACGAGGGTTGATATAGATACAATCAACACCGGGAGCAAGGAAAGCCGCCTCGGCAAACTCGTAGTCCTGCATATCGACAGGGTCAATGAGATCAGGATGGTAGACAATGGGATCGTTGGGATGCTTGTCAATGCGAGTGTAGGCCTTGAGAAAGGCGTGGAAGGCTTCTTTGTTGACGAAGGCAAAGGCAGGGTAGCCAGGGCGGCGCGCATGGGCGTCCGCGTTCGGACCGATACCGACAAGCTGGCCAGAAGACTCGGCGACCATCTCCTAGATGACCGAACGGACTGCAAGCGGGAGGCGGTGGAGGCTGGTAGCGCTGGGAGTGGTGTCGGACGAGTTGTCGGCAGCCAAGGGGGAAGACGTGATCTCAATGATGGCGTCGGAAGCGTTGTCGGCGATGGCAACGTTGGAAGAGCTGTCGACCGAAGGGGAAGACATAATCTCAATGACTGCATCAGGAGAGTCGCCGGCGATGGCAATGTCGGAGGAGTTGTCAACGGAGGGAGAAGACTCGACCGAGATGACACCGTCTGCCAAGTTGTTGGCGGTGGCCAAGTTGGGCGAATTGCCAGTCGACGGAGAGGAAGCGATCTCAATGACGACATCAGAAAGGTTGTCGGGGATGGCCATGTTGGAAGTGTTGCCAATTGAAGGAGATGACATGTTCGAGATGACAGTATCCTCAAGGCTGTCGATGGTGGCGATGTTGGTTGAGATCTCAACCGCAGGGGAAGACATGGCCTCCATGACCACGTCAGATTGCTCATTGGTAGCGACCGCGTCAGACAAGTTGCCGACCATGGGAGAGGACATGGCATCAATGGCAATGTCGGAGTGGTTGTCGACGGTGACGTTGTTGGACGAAGTACCATCTGCAGGGGAAGACGCGGTCTCCATGACAGCGTCGGTAGGCTTGTCAACGGCGACAGCGTTAGACGAGTTGTTGGTCGAGGGAGAGGTCATGACGGCGTCAGTGGGCTTGTCAGCAGACTTGTCGGCAGCAACGTTAGACGAATTGCCAAGCGAGGGTGAAGACATGGTCTCAACGACGATGTCAGGAGGATCGTCGGCAGGGGGATTGTTGGACGCAAGGGAAGTTTGCTGAGCCATCGTCGATTGTTTGGTAGACTGTGATGATTGAAGCTCTTGGTGTCCCTGAGGTGTGGGAAGGAAGAGATTTTTGGAAAGAAGGGAGCTCAGTGGGAACCCAGGAGTAGATTTCAGAAGATATCCCGAGGGATGTCACATGATCAATGTGCTTGCTTAGTCGTGATGGCCTCCCGTCTGGTGTTGAGAAAGGTGCTTTGAATCGGGAACTATCATCATCGTGAGGTTGGGCGGGGAGCTTTGTTGTGAGGTGCTCTCGCCCTTGATGTGGCGGTTGCTTGCTGATGAGGTCGTCGGGGGGGATGGCCCCTCGTCCGGCGTTCAGACGATCACTTTCAGACGGATTCATACCTTCTGACGAGAAGGTGTTCGGACGAGTGAGATCCGGTGCTACTCTTGGCTATGGCTAAACAGAGTCATCCTCGATCAATCTCATCCTTGGCCTGAGAATAGCTTCGTCTGAGAGCAGCTTCGGTTCAGGCCCATACCCAAAATGAACTTATCAACACTAGATCACGCATTCATCTTCGCAAGATTTCTTCCAAAAAAGCATGCCAGATTGTTGTGAACTCGACAAAGAACCTCAAAAGACAGACTTGGGAGGGGGAACTATGTCAATGAGGTAAAGCACTGACAAGGGAACGCAAACAATGCAAGGAAATTTCAAAGTCTTTTGAACCTTTTAGTATTTCTCGTCCTTTGTAAACATATCCCTTTTCTGCCAGTTCTCTTACAGTCTCATATATTAGTAGTCGATCCAAGCGGAATTGGGAGTCATCGGTTGAATAGCACTGGTGGGGTGAGCAATGGATATAATATAATATGAGAGAGCTTGATAGAAGGCTTGTTGCTACATCTCAATAAGCAAACATGAAGGGTTTCTCTTCGGCCTCAAATCGAATGGAGGATCCGACACCACGTTTGAAGACATATGCCAACCGGAAGAGAAGCAAAATTTGCAAGCTCGTGTCGGCTTACGATACGACAGTTGGGAAAACATTTTAGGGTCTTCTTCGACTGGGATAAGAACATACTTTCACAAGCTAGGTCAAGAGACGGCGTGATAGTTGAGTGACGAAGCAGAGCGAGAGTAGGAGCATAGAGGCATCTGCCCTCCTTTCCGGAGAGAGCCTCGATCTCAGCTCGGAAGCCTTGAAATACTGGACAATTGATTTAAAAACGAGCTTCTCTCAGTTCAGCCATCAGATATAAAGTCAAGACCATTCGTGCCGAAATCTCATAACGAGTGGGAGGAGTTGGTGGAGGAGGAGGAGGCGATCCTAAGGGGTTCACTTCTGGGGGAAATCGGGTCATCGGTCTCCCTGTAGCATCTACGTAGCCACGAGGTCACAAATAACGCAGGAGGATCCATACCAGAATCGATTCAATAGAAAAGAGCTTTGGAGTCCTCCCAGGACATGCTCAGTAGTAGTAATGTGAAGGCTTATCTACTGAAACGCTGACTCTGAAAGTCCCTTGCGTACACACACGTCTTGCTTCCTAACAGACCGAAAGTATCCGCGAAGGCGTTCACGACACCAATCACCCATAACTTTCGCCCAGGCGCATCGAGACATATTTCGTAGCAATTTTCCAAGCAAGGTGCATCTTGTGGAATCCATTAACGGGTAACTAGGCGTCAGTGACCCAATCGAGATTGCTGTCGCGAAAGATGTCGATTCGGATACCAAAACCCGCATTCGAGTCGACCCTGAAGTGATCGTCAGAGATACGATCGTTCGGCCGTATACCTCCGAAATACTTACTGGGTAGAGTTGAATCGCGATGACAATAAAGCTCGTTGATTGGCAATACGTAGCGAAAATGAACTCCCATGCCACGCATCGACCATGCTGTCAGACCATGGTGCGCGATTATTGGTATTGGAATGCAGAGCAGAGAAACCAGGTGGATGACCTCGAGACATGGGAACTGAAGACTGGGAAGTGGAATGGGCCCCGCTGAGTAGGTACTGTTGAAAGGGCTGTAAGGATGGAGGTTTTCGCCTCTATCAAGTCTTCAGTTTAATATTCGCTGCAGGAAGCAGGTGTCGTGTGAACGCATTTTTCGAAGCCGCTTTTTGATATAGCCCGGGAAGGTTGGCGATGTAGTTAAGTCCCCCAAGTCGTCAACTTTTTCACGCCACTGAGGGCTGGCGAGCGCAAATCGGAAACCCCCTAGCCTGTCGACAATCGTACCGAGAAAGAGGGTGTCAACAGCAGGATTGAGGTAGACATGGTCTTTGACAAGCCAAGCAAAGGAAGCATGCCCGTAGACTCGCTGATCAGCCGAATGTACATGCCCAAGAAAATTTTGCGGCTTTCTCAATGAATAGCGGACATGGCGGGCAGACGACTTCTTCGAGCAAGCTAGTTACTCGGGCTACGACCACGAGTCGGTCTTCGAGGGCCTCGCGCCGTACTATGCGTCTGATTTCCTTCGGTAAAAGTTTGAAGATTTCGGATTCGACAAGTTAGGACATGATAAGCTGCTTTGAGTATTTTTTGCTGTGATGCGTGATGATGTGGCGATGAGACAAATGGTATTTCGAGTAGACTGGTATATTGGGGAGAAGAATAGCAATGATAGATGCTGGCGATCAGAGCCACGAAGGAAATATGAGCGCTGCCTCGCTTTCTTGTTGCTCTTACCCATAATTCCCTTCGGTCAAAGATGTCTGCCTGCCTTGCCTGAAGAGATACTACCTTCTCATGTTCGGGGAGCTATGTATCGCCGCTTCCTTTGGATGTGAATAGCCACTTGTCGTGCGAGTCATCGGCACTACCAAGACACTTGTTCTTCGTAACGCCCTTTCAGTATGAGATCGCTTCGTATAAATGGCCAAAAGAGTGATGAAGATGAACGTAACTGAAGATTGAATGAATTCTTGTTGGAGAGATCCGAATATCTAATGATGCCTTGGCCGCAGTTCCCTTGCGCGTCTATAGAAGCTGAAGCGCTCCCAGTGATCCATAAACTGATCCCTATTATTCGCAAATCGCCCACGAGGCTTGCCGCAAATGTAACTCTTTCCCAAATACCTCAACTCCAAAATCCAATGAACTCCTTTGCCTATGCCGAGCAACCGCTCACGAATCATTTCAAGCACCTCCATCGCGTCTCAGCTTGGGACCAACGATGACCCTTACGCCCTGCTTTCTATTCTTCTGCCGGCCCTTCGATACACCTCCACCAACCAACTCTCTATCGCTACCTTCATCGTCGTCTCCATCCTCGTCGTAGGAGTTCTTACGTTTCTTCGAAGCTCTCTTCTCCTTGGCTTCCTCAATGCTCTCCTTCTTGCTCTCCAGGGCCTTGCGAGCACGCCTCTCCCAGAAGCCCCTGGGGTCAATCTTGGCCTTGTCACTTGGCCAGTTGTATCTGCGTTGGATGCTTGTCTCCGGGATAGAGTGCTCAACAAGAAACTCTTCCCCGAAGCAGACACCAGCCTTTTTTTCCTTGTTCAATCGGCGAAGCAAGGCTTTCGAATCCCACAGTCTCTGCGTGTTGTGGTTCCAGTCTGCGCTAGTGGTCTCGAATACCAGGATCGCAATGTTAGAGAATCCTTGGTCCTCATATGCGACAGCGAATTCCACAGCTCTTGCGCGGCTGTTGGTAGCTGAGAGGAAGGGACTCGGTTCACGACAGTTCCCGCGTAGATGCTTCCTCAAGTGAATGTGTAGGAAGATTGGGTCGCTTCCCCGTCCCAGGCGAGACTTGATGCCCTGGTGAGGTTGCCCACCATGAATTGTTCGGTAAAGTTGCTCCGGGCGCTCATCTCCACCCACGGTCGAGACTTTTTGTGTGATTGAAAGTAGAGCAGTGCCATTCACGCAACCAGTGTTGCGAGATTGCTGAATGATGTCTAGGTATCCGGGGAATTGGTTTCTGAGAACTGAGACGTAGTCAGGAAGGACTCGGAGAACCCAGGGAATGTTGTGGGTCGTGTTTTTCGTGAGCCAGGCTTTGACGTTGCTGGAGTCGTTGTCAGCGATCTTCTCACTTGTGAGACTGTATCGCGCCACCACAAGCTCTTGGCTGGGGACATGAGCCATTATTGGGGATGGAAGCAGCTTCTTGCAGCTCAAAAAGCTGAAATTGGAAAAAATAATTGCAGGCTTTGAGCAATATGTGGCAGTGAATATTCTGTGAAAAGAGTATGGTAAAGATGAAGTTTGATAAGTGTATCAAGATATAATCACGAAAAACCGCGATACTATCGTGGCATTCTTGACTGGTGATGGTGAGGTTGAAGTTGGAAGTGAGGAAGATCTTGAGTTGAGAATTCATGAAGAGATTTTATAGAGCCTTGAGTGAGTTCTGAGTCCATCTGTAGGGAAGGAACCGAAGGGGGGGGGGGGGGAGGATAAGAAGAAGGAGTTGACCTCGTGAGGTGCTCTTTCCCCCTCAGAATAATATTTGAAAGAATCAAATTCTCGAATTCTCCAGTGGAAGGGCTATGTGGGACGGCGGTGCTTGCCTGGTGGTTCTGTGCGGATGTTCTGCACCTGAAATGCCAACTCATGCAAACACTATACCAACTCTTCATCAACCAGTTTGTGGTTTCGTCCTGTGAGCTGAAATGCTCAATCTATGACAAGAGATCTCCATTGATAGATCACACTGCTGCAATTATCGTGAGTGATAGGAACTCTCTGAAAGTAGCTACCTTCGTCATCATGGATGGTCCTTTCGACAAAGAGCGTATCTGAAGCCTTGTGATGCGACACGACGCTGCGGAAATTGAGTAGGGAAATTCAACTACTGAGACGGCCCTAGGCTTCAAGTGAGGGTCATCCAAAATTCGGCTGTCATTCAAGGTGAATGTTGAGAATACATATTGGCAGCTGGCGCTGGGCGCTCGATCGCCCGCTTATCCGCCCGCCCACCGTTTTCAAGAGTTCGAAATCGCGCGGAAATGGAGGCTACTTGGTTCACTTTCGAGTCTTATATTTCTCATATCCTATGACATGAACCTAATACTCAGGATATCTAGGCAAACGCCGAACGGCTCTCATCCCAGTCAGGTCTCAAAGACTTGCTGTCGAAGCTCATATCGAAGCTAGAAGTGTGGACGTAATCTGCCTGCCACTCAACATTCAGCGCAACACCCTCCGCAGCCTGACTCCAAACAGTTACGGCAATCGTGTTATCTCCGTTGTAGTTGAGAATACCAGTGGGGACAGGGAACTGAACCTGGTTGCCGATGTACGGGTTGAAGCGACCGTACTGGTATCCGTTGACGAACAGAAGTGCGCGAAGGCGGTTCGTATCGTCAGTAGCTGCAGTAAGGCGGAACGAAATAGAGACATCGAGGCCGGCGGGAACGTCGAGCGGGACAACGGTGCGGAAAATGCGGATGCCGGCGTCAGGAACGGAAAGAGATCCGTTAGCAGAGTCAAAGGACTCCCAGTCTGCGTCGGGGTAGCCGGGCAGATGGGCACCAACGCGCTCGGCGTACAGACCTCCTTCGTTGATAGGACCGCGAACGGGGTCAATGAGGTCGTTACGGCCAGCGGTGCCGGCAATCTTCCACTCGGAGAACTTGTAGTTCGCGGCGTCGGGGCCGAGCAGAGTCGCGTTGGTGATACCACGGGGCGCGAGCGCCGCCTCACGCAGGTCGTGGCCCGAGTTATCCATGATGACGACGAGGACATTGTCGCCGGTCTTGGAGAGAGTCGCGTTCTCAAAGGAGAAGGAGCTGGCGTCTGCTCCCAGGTAGGAGAGACCGAGGTAGGAGCCGACGTACTCGGAGTTGAGCCAGACGGAGTAGCCGAAGGCCAGACCGCCGGTGACGTTGAGGAAGACGCCAGTCGGGGCGGACTCGGAGGTCGGGAAGGTTGCGCGGTAGATGTGGTTTCCAACGTGGATGTCGTACTCGTCTACGTAGAGGACGGGATTGTTTGAGGCAGGCTTGACGGTGTTGGAGGTGTTTGTCTTGGTGGCAGCTGGAAGTTTGTTAGACCGTTTTCCCTCTTTAACGACACGACAAGATGTAACAGGTATCACTTACCAACCCAGCTGTCAGAGGTGGCTTCGTAATCAGTAGCGATCTCAGGCAAGCTGTCGTGAACCTTCCAAGGGCCGAGTGCGGGGACCTCGAACTTGGCAGGGCCCTCAATCTTGGCGGTGAAGACGTTACCCTCTCTCGAAAGGAGCTCGAGCTTCTTGCCGTTCCAGGTGATGCCGCAGATGGACTCGGAGGCAAAGACGGTGATGGTGGTCTCCTGGTCTGCGTCTCCAGAGAGCGCCAAGCTACGGCCAGTCTCGTTGAAGGCAGCGTGGCGGACGAGGTACGGTCCCTGGACAAAGACTGCACGAGTTCGTCAGTAAAATTGGAATCGATGCGTCAATAAATAAACTCACCAGTCTTGTTGGCCGGCGCAAAGGGGTCGTTGTCAAGCACGGGTACCCAGAAGAGGTACGCGGCGCTGCGGTCGAGCAGGACGGCGCGGGAGCCATCTCCGAGGTCGACAAGCGTAATGCCCTTCTTCTGCGTGTATGCGATGGTGACGTTGCTCTCGCCAGGGTAGACGTTGAAGTCAGCGACGTTGCCGTCGCCAATGAGCTTGGCAGAGTTGGCGCCAGTGACTGTGAACTCGCCAGCCTCGCCCTCAGGAAGCCAAAGGGCAATAACCTCTTGACCGTCGAGAATGGTGTAGCTGAGAACCTCGGCGGTGGAGTATAGGAGGGTCTTCTCGCCAAATCTGAAGTCGGTGACAAGGACCTTGGCTTGGTGGCCGTTGATGGCGATCGAGCTGCCGTGCTGGGGGATGGTGACTTGAGTCAAGTCAGCATTTTATACGCAGAATTTGATATTAGATAGAAGGAAGACTTACGAGCACCCTGAGAGGTGTTGACAGAGAGCTTAAAAGCCTCGTTGGTGTTGGAAGGGGAGTATGCGTGACGGGCAATGTAGAACGCCGCGTTGTTGTCGACATTGCGGAGCTCGGACACGGTGATGGCTGAGTTGGTGGTGTATCCAGTGCCCTAGGGCACGTCAGAATCTCACTTGACTTGCATCACTGCTTCACTTACGTTTCCGACTCTCTCAGTCTTTGTCAGATCCTTGGCCACTACGCAAATGTTAGAATTCATCTTGCATACTTCAGGGGTGAACAATCTACGAACCTCTGGTGAACAGAGTCAAAAGCTTTGTCTCGTGGAACTTGCTGCCGATGATTCTGTTCTCGGATACCGGAGAAGAGTAGTCGTAACTCGAAGCTGGCGTTGAATTAGCATGAGTCGATCTCACACATACCATACGATGGCGACATGGACTTACCAACAACGGGACAAGCGAGCCAGCCCCAATTGGTTCCACCGAACATCATGTAAAGGGAGATTGCGGTGACTCTCTGGTAGATGAGATCGCGGTAGAAGATGTTGGCGAAATCGGCACCAATGTCACTGGGGCAGCCGCCTTCGGGTCCGCCCCAGGGGTTGTAGGAACCACCCTGGAACTCTGGAAGGAAGTTGGGTTGTGACCTGTAAGATGATTAGAATTCTGATTTGAGCGTGTTTCAACTTGGAATACTTACGGCGACTGAACTGTGAAGTAGGAGTAGTAATCTTGAGTCAGCTGTGAATGGGATGATTAGCAAGATACAGTAGTTGTGGTGATTCTGAGTTACTCACATAGGGGATGTATGCTCCGTTTGTGCCGGTGCATTCGCTCAGGTTGCAACTCCAGCACGAAGGGTAGCTGTCGACACCGACGACATCGACGTTTCCAGTAGCATTGGAAAAGTCTTTGGACCAGGAAAAGCCGCGCTGAGCAGTGTCAGAAAGTGGGAGTACATAAGTCTTTGAACAGAGATACTTACCATATTGGGGGCGTTGTGAGACAGGGGCACGTCGATTCCATTCTCCCGGGCGCTGTCCTGGAGAAGCTGCATGTAGTTGGCGATGGGCGGGTTCAGGACTCTCTTGGAAATGTCCTTCCACTGTCCGTTGAGTTCGTTCTCGATCTGGGTTTCCACTTAGCAAATGCGCTCTCTCTAGTTCTTGGGAATGATCGCGTACCTGGAACATGATGACGTTTCCGCCGTTGGTGATCAGATGAGGCTTGATGATCTTGGAAATCTCCGACCAGAAGGGGGTCCACGCCGCAGTGTATCTCTCGTCGTCGTTTCTCAGAGAACCGTAGGCGCCAGTGGTGGCCCAGAGAGGGAAGCCGCCGGCGTTGGTCTCGGCGTTGACGTAGGGTCCAGGTCTGATGATGAGGTAGATGCCGAGTTCCTTGGCGACGGTCATGATGGAGGTGAAGTTGTGAGCGCCGGTGTCAAAGTCCAAGACACCGGGTGTGGGATTGTGGTAGCCCCAGTGGTTGTAGATGGAGAATGCATTGAAGCTGTCATCTGCGTGTTAGCCACGAAACGACCTTTTCCACTCCAGAGACTGTATCTTACCCAGCCGCCTTGACCTTTTCGAGGAGATCTCGCCAAAGTTCGGGACTTGAAGATATGTCAGTAAGCTTAGTACACTGCAGATGATGTTGTGTTGGATCACGAACACAGGGATACGCCAGTAGTGGAACTGCATTTGTTAGCGAGACGATCCCAACATGCGATACGGGGAAGTAGTCAGTTGCCATACCTCGCCAGAGAAGACGAAGAGTCTCTCTCCGTTGACAATGTAGCTGTGGTGATCCCTGCGTAGAGTTCAGTCAGTATGAAGCCAATGTTGTATCCGTGAACAAACTATGGGAACCTACCATTGGACGACTTCATTGAGACCGTTGTCATGGATCGGCCAGTCAACATCTTGAGCTAAGGCGCTCTGCGAGCCACAAAGCGACGCGGCAAGCCAAAGGAGGCCGCCGGCTTTCAGACCAAACCTCATCGTGGCGCTTTTTTGACTATGGCTGAAACTTGACAGATGCAACACGATAGCCGAAAAAAAGAGTCAAAAAGCCAACAGCCAATCGAGAAACCGCGCGCGCAAGAGGAAGCCATCGCGTCTTCTTTAAAGGGCATCCTACTAGCCTGCCAGTTCCCTGCCAACAACGGCCCCCCGGTCCCATCCGTTGTGCCCCGGCGCAGCGTAGCATCCGGACAAACGTGCTCGGTGTTGATCGAACCGACAAATGCGGGGAATCATGAGGGGGGAACCGGGGGCAAAGAACTGGAGAAAGACGATTTAGACGATCAACCACCCCCGGCCGCAACCCCCGCGATTCCTGTAGCCGCAGCAATCACTGACCCAAGGCACCTAAGATTGGTGAGCCTGATGTCATTGACTGCTTGAGGACTTTGCAGTAGCGTCTTGAAATTTTCGACGAGCCAATTTTAAGCGATCTTTTCACCGACGGGCATGGCTCCCGTTGTGCGCTGGACTGGATGACTGGTTGGTTTAGCGTGCTCTCGTGAGAGAACTGTGCCTTGGCAGCCAACACGGCCGGATATTACATCGCAACATCATGGGCCGACGGCCACTTTTTATGTCAATTCGGTAGGATCCGATCATCCGAGGTATGGTATAGAAGCAAGACATGCTTAAGTTCCCTGCCTGAGTGACACCAGAAACTGATCAATCTCTCAATGAGGAGTGAGTATGTTGGCAGTGACCGTCTGAACTTCTGAAGATGTTGGGTTCCAGTTCGGGCCGATCTGCCCTTGCGCGACATGCCGGACGAACACTCATCCATGATTCAATCCATGTTTGTTTTTAGCAAGACAATACATTTGACTTTGGCTGATTCCGGTGGGATGCAATTGCCCACGGGTTGTCTACTGCGCGTTGGTTCGAACGGTTCATGCAGTCAACTCGCATTACTCTAATGAAGCAGTGGTACAATAACCCACAAAGTCCATGGTCGGCCGACACTGCATTGCATTCCTTTTGGTCTCCAAACAACATCACGCAACAACCCCTCACAATATTGGAGATCGCGTGCGGAGATTTGGGGTGGCCATGTCTCCATCTACAGGAAGTAGTGTCCGAGTTGCCGACTTTGTGCAGCCTTAGTCTCTTTGAAGGCAACACTCTATACGTTTAGTAAAGCATGCATAATCAAGGAGATCATTCGCTCAAGGGAATGATTGCGGCTACGATTGAGTACCTATAGGAGTTGCCGCAAAACTTCTTCAATCCCCGAAGTTCACCTCATTGTAGCGACTCCTCACACCATCCACTACGCCACAATTCATGATTTTGAAAAGAGAACGAGACTCTAGCACACAGGAGTTGCAACTGCATACACAGTCCTGCACCCAATCTTGTTACAGACATCAGCCTCTTCACACTCAAGGTCGACGAACGCAGTTGAGAGAACAGGGCAGCCGCAAGACTTCGTGATAGACGAAGTGGTAGTACACTGCGCGACGAAGCAGCTTTTGCAGATGGTACCGGTAGAGGTGACCTTTGGACAGTTGAGAGCTGAGCAGGGAGCCGTGGTCGTTCTCGTGATGGTCTGAGTGACGAGTGCGGTGGTGGTTGAGACTTCTCGCAGCGTCGTTGTCGTCGGGCTTGTCACGACAGCAGTCGCCGTCGTAGTGGCGGTAGTCGTGGTTTCCCTAGTCTCTGTCCTCGTAACGGTGACGGTCCTGGCTCGATCTATCGTCGATGGAGTCAGCGTGATGACTTGACCGGATGCTTCCCTGCATTAATCAGTCAGCAGAGCCCTCGATCTACCATGCATGTGGGGTCTGACCAAGCTGTCCAGCAAAGGATCATGCTAAAGAGACGAAGCGAATGCATCTTTCGCTTCTAGGTATTCAGCACAAGATTTTGGAAAAGATGCCGACTCTTTGGGATTTGGAGTTTATAGCAGGCTGTGCGAGAGACTTCCAGTTTCCGAGAAGACCATGGCGACAGATTGGTTAATGATGCAATGCATCGTCTCTCTTATAGTTGAAAGTCATTCCAGCGACGCATTGGTGTTCACGAAGATGCTCAACCCCAATATACACCAGGTGAAATTAGGTGCTTTAGCTGCTCTTGTCAACCATACTTATCCGGCTTCGTGACTGCGGGAGTATACAATGCAGCCTTGATTGACTTGAGCTACGAGCCGAGCTGAACAGAGGCAGCCTATAGGAAAGAAGAACTGGAATTAATTCGTGTAGCCGAGCGTGCGTTTGCTTCCAGCCGGTATAGCTGCATGTCGGCTGAACGTGGTACTGCTCCCATGAGGGCGAATGCAACAGCAAAGATCCAATCAGCGCTGTCGTCCGAAACCCAACCTGCCGCATCTGGCAATTCGGAGCCAAGGGGCAGTGCGTGCAGATCGCCTCAGAAAACCACCTCCTCTACGTCGGCAAGGTCAGGCTGTGTTTGTGAGCCTCATTAGACGAATCGTGGTGCCATCTTAAATGTAATAATGCACGAATACAGACGCATTGGTTGGCAAGTTTAGATTGGGCTGTGCAGTACTGGTGCGACGCTTTGAAGGGCAGTTCAGAAGATCGCCCAGTAGCCCTGGAGCAAAGCAAATACAACTATAATTCAATTGCTAATTGTGGTATATATAAATGGCTGATTCAAAATTCAGCCGGCACTTTGGCCAGCTTAGCATCTCCAGGAGGTGATCTGGTTCTCGTACTCGACGGTGCGAGGGTCGTCGGGGAGAGCGACGGCCAGGTTGTAGTTGTAAGAAGAGGTCAGGCCACGGTCATCGCCCTTGTTGTTGCAGCCCTTGTACCTTTGGTGAATTGTTAGTATGTCTTGTTGGACAAGTTGAGACTTATTTAAAGACTACTTACTTGTAGAACTGGCACTTGCCACCAGTGTTGGTGGAGAGGGAAGAGACCTGGTCGTTGAAGCGGTCGCTGATCGCGGTGGAGTTGGCGGCCTGGAAGTTGAAGTAGGAGACTTCACATACGAGTCAGCACTTATTCATCTCATTACGATTGCAGATTACGGTTACTTACCACAGTCGCCGGGGCTGGCGCCGAAGACGAGGCAGTCACCACGGAAACCCTATTGATGTCAGTACTGCTTCATAACCAGTCAAATCTCTCAAAACTTACAGCATCGGTGCACTGAAGCACAAAGATGGTCTCGGGGTTCGTCTCGTTGCGGTTGGGGTCGGGCTCGCCGTCCTGGCGGGTCTGGAGCTGCTTGGGGGCCAGGACCTCGGTGTTGAGGAACTTCTCGTAGGCGGCAGAGTTGACAATGTCGTTGCCGATCTTGATGTTGAGGTCGGAGCCGGTGTTGCGCTGCACAAGGGGCTTGCTGACGGCGGCGGCGGAGACGGCGGTGGCCGCGAGAACGAGGGTGGTGAAGCTCTTCATCTTGGATGGAGTTTTGTTTGTTGTTGGAAGCGAACGTGTGTAAGTTTGTTGTTGTAAGGAATGGACTCGTTGGACGACTTGCGTTGGCTGCGGGAAACTTCAACGCCGAGCACACCAGGAGGCCAAAGTGAAGTGAGCCGGCTTTATTTATCTTGACATACTGTAGAACCGGATGTCCCGCAGTACCCAAAAGACAAAGTTTCGATCATAATAACCGCATACAACCTCATCCCAGCCTGCCCCGCGAGCGCCGATGCACTCGGATTCGGTGATATTGCTTTGTGGGTCTACTGATCATCTATTCTCGTGGCACAAACGGCCGCCGGAGGCATTCGAGTGGGAAAAAAGGGCGAGTTTTTGTTGGCCCGAGTGTTCCGTCAGGACCATTACTGCGTCCGTTGACGATTTAGACTTCGGAGAGTTAATATCGAGATGGGGCTCATCAGCGTCGCCAACTGCCGACATCCATGACAAGGTTTGGAGTTACCACATGAAAACAGTGGAAATTTCGAGGTCGCAAAGGGGATGAACAGTCTGAGGCGGACCTGTTCGACGACTCAGTGGGCTTCTTTAATCCGTTCATCTTACACAGTAGAGTGGTGTATATGTGCTGGCTCTGAGGTTTGTTTATTTGAATTAGGTTTTCGTCTGAACTAAGTCAACTGACTCGAAGATCGGACGGTTTAATAAGGATTCTCCCGCAACGTGAACCTAGAAAGGGGCCTGACTGCGAGGATGTTCACAGTTCCGCAGACAAGTCCCAGTCTTGGCTTTGGTCGTTTGGCCCCATTTTCTTCCATCACACCTATCCGTACGGACGCACTAGAAAGGAAAAGAATGCCTCAAATCGCGGGGAGAGGAAGGAAGTAGCGTCCGTGGATCTCGATGGACACTAACAAAAGTCTCCTAGGCTGGTGATCGTGGATCGTACTGCACTAACCTAACAGGAAGAGTATCAACCAGAGAGACATTCCAAGGATATGTTCCCTTGACTTTGGACCGCAGTCCAACTGCCAATCTGGGCAGTCGCTTTCGATGCGGCATGGATCTACCGCTCCGATAGACTTTCGTATTCAATGAACTTTTGCGCCCGGAGGGTGCCCGCCCGCCCGCCGGCACTGTTCTTCGTTTGCCGGCCTTGACGCGGCGGGAAAGTTGCCCAAACACGTCCCCGACAACGGTTCAACCGCCGTTCAAGCATTTCTTGGTAACTCGGGGGTTGCGGGACCATAGTCTATCATTAGCAGACACTGACCACTCGGAGGATTGGACTTGTAGTTGTCTTTCCCACGTTTGCATCCGTACTTGACAGTGATCGGAATGATCTTTGGTCGTTGACATCCCGGTCGCTCATCAATCAAAGACCCTGATGGTTTGAGCTACTGGATCGCTGCGCATTGAATGTGTAGACCAAAGTCTCCGTATACCATCTGTTGCTTGTTGCCTTTCGGACTTTGCTCCGTTGGCTCTCATCTTCAATCATACGCCAATCAACTGCCGCATTGTGTAGGCAGATGCCCAACCGGCTACAATTGTTCGAATACTCGCGCAAGGGGAACGGCATAAGGTTGGATTTACTCCAATCTGACCCACCAAATCAGAGTCTCCAAAGGCTACTATCGTATCTCGAGCTCCTTGGAGCCAAAAAATTCGAGCTCGGTACTTGATGTACGGAGTGGTCCATGTGCCCGCCGGGCTGTAGCTGAGACCACCAGCCCATTTCAATTTTTAGCTGGCCTTCCCCAGGTGCTTCTCCCCCTTTCATACACTTCACCATTTAGTTCCAGCAACACAATTCCCATTTCCATTCTATCGAAAGCCCATTTTTATCTCAATAATATGCGAGTCTTGAGGTTTCTCTAACTCATAGGCAGAGGCTTGGCTGCCTTTAGCCATCTCTTGACCACCAAGAACCGCACATGCGACCATGTCACAAACATGTCAACATATTCTACATCAAATGAGAGGCCCAGCGCATACCCACAGTTCTTTTAACGGTGTAAATATCAGTTCCCATTGTTTCGATAATTCACCTATAAGGCTTTGTGGCGTTGCTGCTGGGGTCGTGGTAAGGGAAGCTGTCAGTTTTTAGTGGCCCGCTAGTTCGTGAGAGTTGATAGAGTTGGAGGTTGAGTTTCTTCTAAAGAACAGCCATCGCGGCGATCTAACTTCTTGAGACTCGGTAAAGGACATATGCAGCTTAGGAAGAGAAGGATAAAGACGAGGACTGCCAGTGAAAAGTGCTGAGCAGGAGTTTCATTCACCCAGCTTAGTCTGTCCAAAGTCATCGTGAACTTTAAAGGATTCCGGCCGAGTCCCAATTAGGAAACACGTACTACAGCTCATCTGATTGGCTGTCGGGATCGCCTCTCAGAGCAACAGAATCCTCTGATTGGCTTGTTGCATCAAAGGATTATGATCCATGCTTCCCTTAGATCCTCGGGATCCTCCGCATCAACTTCATGAAAGAAGCTCGTTATCTCACCTAGGTAGTCAGGGGAAACGTCATCTTTAAGATATTCTCAAAAATCCATACCGTCTTGAGACTTCCGGCTTTCATAACTCCTGCTTGGTTCTGCTGATGTTGATGTCCATGTCCTATCTTACCTTTCGACATTGTTGCCACCGCGTTGAGCTACAGTACTTACCGATATCATGGGTACCAAAACCAGGTCACTCGAGCCTACATTCGTGGTTCGCAGCTTCCAGGGCGCGCGTTCTCAACTTCAATTAGAATCGCGCCCGATGTCGAGAGCTTCGTCTCAAAGTACCGATAAGGGCGAAACAAAGGCGTAAGTACCTAGCACGTGAGAGACTGGTCTGTTGGATGAGAGGTGTCCAGGGTTCATTGAAGCCGACGTCGTTGGTACGAGCGTCTGAAGCAGATCGACCAAGGAAGAGCACGTGGCTTCATAGCAGGGAAACGGGAGCATCTCCCGTTCATTTATGGACCAACAACTAATCACTTCGGGTCTTAGAACTCCATCAAACGGCCAGCTTCACGTCTTCTCGCTTTCGAACCGACCCAAGCAGAGCCGTGCGAGCGCGCCCAAGACCCGGAATGGGTGTAAAGAATGCAGGTACGTTTATGTCAACTCTCTTATGCTCGTCTTTGATTCGCCCCCGTCCTCGTTCCTCGTAACGGTTCCCACCCTTGATGAGGAGAATACGGGTCTCACGTGGTGTCGCACATGTAGGAGACGCCACATCAAGTGTGACTTGGCCAGACCACACTGCATGAAATGCGTCAAATCAAACCGTATCTGCGAGGGCTACCTCGACTCAGGACTGCGTCTCACGACACAGAGACATAGTCAAGTCCATATCACTTCCCGTCCAGCCGGCG